TGATTGAGCACTATTTTTAGTATATAATTACCATATTTTTATTTGTTCTTATAATATTTAATAAAAAGCACGACAGTCGCGACTATTTTGAAAACATTAGTAACGACAATGAGCATCGAGTTAAATATCATTTTTCTTAGAATGCCTTAATTCATAATCAAAATATAAAAGTGAGGCAACACTAAAATTCAACTACAATATAATTTCAAATGTCCTAATCCATAGTCCAAAAATAAATGTTCGACAATACTAAAATTCAATCACAATATAATTTAAAATTACTTGTTGGTTCTTGACACAGTAGTTTAGTGCTAAGTTGCATTGCAACACATATTAGATTTATACTCTAAATTTGATCTGAATACTTGGTATGAGTTTGAATATGCACGTAGATTCTTCGACAATGACAGTATTGTCCACAAATTCTCTTAGAGTACCATATTGCATGAGTTTTTCTCATGGCCATGAGCTATCTTAACTCTATATTGAGAACCAACAGTTTATACGTCTTACTTCTACAATATTAATAGTGATCATATGTAGAATTAGCAACAATAGAACTCATGCACATTCACTTGCAAGCACAAACTAAGAATCAGAGACAATGGCATGAAGAAATCTCACTTCTGCATCCAATATGTTTATACACGCTTAAGAAGTAGGGGAACTACGAAATATACAATGAGAAATAATTCAGAAAAAATATTCAAAAGATAAATGAATGAATCATAACTTCCATCATCCATGTATTACACCAAGTTTTTTTTAAGATCCCAACTGGTTCTATTATTAAGGCCTTGGATTCAGTCACAACAAAGTTTTGGTGGGGAGATGATGTTGAGGAGAGAGAAAATATTTGTTGGTTGGATTGCGGGAAAATGTCTCTTCCTAAGGAGCAAGGGAGTTTGGGGTTTAAGAACTTGAAGTTGTTCAATGAGACTTTATTGATGAAGCAGATTTGGAGGGTACTTACCAAACCTCAGCTTTTGATGAGCAGGTTGATCAAGGCCAAATACATCAAGGAGAAGAATGGTGGACACTGGAGAGCAAATGGAATCAATCTTGGACGTGGAAGTGCTGGGTAACTTCGAA